TTAGTGGGTGGCGTGTGGAGTCTGTACAGTATGTGGCTTCTACAGCAGTTTTGACCGCATCGCTAGCATTTTACCATATCAATCTGCATACTGATGAATGGACTCTGATTACCGCTCAGCCCCGTTCGGCGCTCGTAATCATCTTCGAGAATATCAAGCTCCATACTGCCATCTGTCTTGCCTGGAGCGCGTCCTTGTACATGGCCGGATACTGCCACTTGGGGACACTCCAGAAGAAAACCGCGAAAACCCATATCCGTCCGATTAACGCGCCGAACCAACTCTCCTTGACTGACTTCAGCTCTCTCTGATAACCAAATGCAGGCAGGAAGTGCTGCAAGAAGACCGTCTCCACTAAACAAGCCAAGAAGTTTACCATGAACCACCAGACGTCCGCCCACCCATCACGACCTATCTGCCAACTGACAACCCCATGAGATACGCCAGAAAGTACAAACACGACAAAAGCTACGAACACTTTACACTCGTAGGAGTCGGAACGGAAGTTGAGCTGGCGAGCCAAAGCTCTTCCGATACACGTATACGGCTGAAGAGCAATCTTATGCCAGAATCGAGACCAGAACGTTCTTAAACAAGTAATAGAAGTAGGAGTACCAAATAGAGGGGGCCAATCACAAGGGTGGTCCAAGCCGATGCTGACGAAAAGACTGGCGAGGATGGCGTTGGTTCCGTCTAGGTACACCACGCTTTGCCAGACCCAGAGGACCGAAACGTAGGCCCGGATCAACAAGTCTCGCGTGGTGACGTCGTGCCAGCGTCGGAGTAGCATTTGTTTCTCTTCAGAGACGTCCTCGGGATATATCTCGCCAAAGACTGCGGCGACGAGAGCGGGTAGGATCTTGAAGTTGATGTAGTAGTATATCGGCAGTTTTACTAGTCGTAAGAACAGGAAGACGGATATCGGCTGAGTGTATTTGTCTGTGGGCCTAGCTGTGGTTGACTCCGGACTAACACCGATGAGTTGTGGGTTACCCCACAAACGATATGTTGCTTCCCAATGGTGTCGCAAACGAGCAAATTGACTGAGAGGTGGTGAAGTAGCAGGCAGGCGTGGGACGGGCCATTTTCGTATGTAAAGTAGACACATTATGTGAGGTATATTGAGCACCATGGCTTGCGTCCATAGACTCGTCAGTCCGGGTATCCATATGAAGTATTTGGAGGATGTGATGGATAGTGAGGCGAAGAGGAGGAAGAAGGGCAGGAAATAGTAGCGATGGGTCTGACTGTGACAGTGCAGTGCCAAGTGGAAAACTAGGATTGATATGACTAGGTAAGTTATGGGGATGAAGAGGTGGAGAAACATGATGGTGGGGTGGGGACGAAAGTAGAGGAGGAAGGAGCGAAGTCTTTCGGGGCTGTCTGCCTTCTTATCGGTAGGACACATTCGCAAGCTGACGTGGGTAGTGTCAGCATGCCTCAAGGGGCCACACAGATGGGAACAATCTGTCAGAGGGTAGGCCTTGTCACTGGATCTGGCCATGCAAGCGGAGTTTCATGCAATGAAGGTGTAAGTCGCCTGAACTTCTTCTTCATTGCAACCCCCACTTCATCCCTAGGTCTTATAGCTTTATTGCGGTTCGAGTGTCAAAGGGAGTCGACATCACATCATAGTCAACTAGAGCTTCTTGGCCAAGAGTCTTTTCTACTTCAGTGTATGTACGTACAACCAAACGAGTGTGTGATCAACCGAAAAGAAAGCTACAACAGTTCAATTAAGACCACTTCCAACAAGAGCTTGAGAGTGAGATCTCGGCGTCAATTCTAGGTAGGCCTGGCATCAAGCGCATCCTGAATAGCCTGAACGTCCTCGTTGGAAAGACCAGTGAAGGAGATGGAGTCAGTTCCCTGGGGTACAGGGTTTCCAGCGTTGAACTTGCCAGTAATGACAGTGGCCAAAGTCATGCACGCAGGGGGAATACCGCTGACGAGAATGACTGGAAGACATGACGTTAGTACATGGATATGTCGCAGTAATAGAGCAGATCGGACATACCACCAGGACCGGTGCCCTCGAAAGTCACGTCAGCTCCCTTAAGCTGATCGGCGCAGTCTTGCCACGCGGTTCCAGTGCCGAATTCCTCATCCTGGCGCTTGGAGACGTAGCTGTGAAGTCCAGCCCAGTTGTCGCGGGCGTGGATGACTTGCGTGCCATCGCGGGCCCTCTTGCCGTTGATCGCAGTCACGACGGTGCCGGCGACGGTGCCAGCTGCGGAAACGGCTGCGCTCTATACCATGTCAGTGTTGTCTACATTCGTGGTTGCGAATGAATGCACTTACGGCAGCGCCAATGCCTGCAGCGGTAGCAGCAGGAATGGCGGCGAGGAAGGGCGCGGGGCAGTGCTGAGCCAGTGCCAAAAGGGCAATGGGAGCAATGAGGCTTTTGGCGTTGGAAAACATATTGATGATGTTGGATTGAAGAGTTCTTTGCTGGACTTGTTGCCTTGAATGATGGGAAGATGTGCGTGCTGGAAACACAGTTCTACGGTGGACCAGGCAGACTTTATACCTGGTCTGCCTTCCTAGATGTGATATTTCCAAGAGCTTACCTTCAAGCTATCCGTCAGGTTTCGATCGAGAGGCTTACTTGCATGTAAGACAGGTGCTTCGTTTAGTGCAGCAATTGGGGGCTGTCTAGTCAAAAAGCTCCGTCGATGAGGTGATTTAATGAGTGTGACCTATCAAGGATGTAACGGACGAAGTTTGTGAGACCATCCATCCGTTCCATGACTTTTAGAGGTAATCTTGGGACGCCCAAGGCTAGGTCGTGCAGGAATGAAGTAAATCATTCCCGAGATGCCTTGCCGGTGAGGCATTATCCATACGGGCATCAACTTGCGTGATGTGATTATGTCTTACTATCCTTGACGGATTTGGCGTAAGAAAACCGTATCATAGTCGTGAGGCAAGACTTCCATGGTGATAGTGGCAGTAGGGGAGATGGGACGGAGCTGCATCTCTTCACCAATGTAAGCCTTAATAAGGCACACGGCGGTTGCAACACTGCATTTTGTGTGCGTACCACTATACTTTGCTTGAAATCCCATCAATTGATCAGCGTCGATGCCTAAGTACCTTCAAGTGGTATCTCGATGCTCGGTTGACAAGCGTCTCATACGTCCAATCGGTGTTGCCGCGAAGCATGTCATCTCATCAGGATGGTATGAACGACTATCGTTCAGGTAAAGGATATGTCTTACATGAGTACGCTTCGGCAAATTCCTTGGGTTAGGACGCACAAAAGTAACCCCCTACGAGATCTATGATCGTGTATCATCTTACGTTGGAGGTGCCTCATGCGCCCCACCCCACTACTAAACAGGCCTTCAAATCTATCCATGGCATCTACATGCGTATACGAGACACACAGACTTGTGCAAAAGATTATGGCTAAGACTGGACTAATACGCTGACATTCGGGCTTGCGGAGAACACAGATACCGAGAAGTGAAGCCGGAGGTGAGCTGCTGTTGAGCTAGCGGGCAAATATGACAGCAACTACGAGCAACAGTATGAGATATTTTGCCTCGACGACCTTCTGAAGAGCGATGGAAACCCATCCAAGGTACGGTATGTATCCCACGACTAGGCCCACGATCTCGTCTCTCGTTACAAAGGTTCGCCCATCAGGATACATGGAAACGTCATCGACTTCATTATTGTCACCCTTAGTGACTATACACTGCCTGTGTTACGTTAGATGTAATTTCGCCATGCCGAAGCTGTGAGGATATGTTACCTTGGCGAGGAATGATTATCATCTCCACCAATGTCAGAGACTTTGATCGCCCGATGAACCATTGGCAACGCTCTGCCAGCAAACCATACAACTGGTATTTCGCCAGCTTGGATGTGGTTGCTCCGATTGGAGAGGAAGAGCAAATCCCCTCTATGAAAAGCGGGTGCCATCGACTCTGAGATGACACATACCATTGGCACTGAAGAAGCGGTAAGAGCCGAAAGCCCTTTCCACATCATCAATGGTGTGCTCAAAGTAGTCAAGATGGGTAAGAGGCGCAGCAAATAGCAGCGTAATCGTCCGCTTTGGGATTGCTTGGCCGTTCGTCGAGAAGATGCTGGCATCTCCATCGTCCAATGCAAGCGGTCGACGAGGAAACGGGTTGGCGATCACTTGCTCGAGGATGTGCGTATCAGGATGGAGCTGGAGTTGCATACCAGGATGAAGCGGTGGCAGGAACATGATGTAGGAAACGCCCAGAGTTATCGTACTTGCTCATTCCCGAGAAGCGATGAGCACGATGAATCAGGCCGTAGTCTAAGGTGAAATCGCTGACTCATCTCCGCTTCCGGTACACGCAGGTGGTATGGATATGGCGTAGCTAGAGAACACCATCACCATAACGGAGAGAACTAGAGCAAGGATTGGATTCGGAATCCCGATATGGGCGAGACACAGGTGCATTGGTATTCTCCGTCTCCAGAAAAGATCTGCGCTGAAGCACAAATAGAAAATCGTCTGGGTAAATGCAGCTGGCAGCCGGTCAGCGTGACATGGCTTGCAGCAACATGAAATTTATAATCACCGAGACATTACCCTTGCTCTATCCTTGATATCAGACGCATGCCGCGAGTCCAAGTCGTCTGCGGAGAAGGCAACGAGAGGTGTATGCGGATGATTCTGCCCTGGCGGCTTATGCCGAGACCACGTGCTGATGGACAAGCGGCCCAGGCAGCGGTTAAACCCGATCACGATGCTTCGTGGGGTTTCTTGTGTAAGGGATGACATTGCAGATCGCGTATAGCGAGTCACACTGTCTTAGCCAAGAGCTGCTGAGTTGCGCAGTTAGTTCTCATGGCGCATGCGTGTTCCGACCTGTATTCCCTCTCATTCTTCACCCAGCGGTTGACGAGGCCTACCCATCTATCTTTTCGCATTGTTCAGCTTTTGCAACTGCGAATACTCGCACCCAGCTTACCTCTGAAACCTTTCGAAATCCATTGTTCAGTTGGCAGTCGACATGGCGGCAGTTCTCGAGTTCTGCTCACTTCCTTTCAAGATCTCTGATGCCCCCATCGCGAATGAAGAGACCAGCATCTATGTCAGATGCCACGATCGATTGTTCTCAAACGTCACCGTTGTGGATGAGAATGGCCAAGAGCTCTTCGTTGGAGGAGGACCTGGTCCAATGAAGTCTTGGTCATGGCGTCGACAGGTGAAAGACACTTCGGGTGTGCCGATCTTCGACCTCCGACATCACGGGTCGGCAATGAAGAACCTCTGGACGGTGGAAAGTCCAGATGGTCAGCGTATAGCGGAGCTGAAACATGTCTCTTCTGGGCGCCGATCAGATCTTGATATGGTCGTTCCCACCGGAAAAGACAAGGAAGACGACGTGGTGCTGCAGGTTCGGCAGAAGGACCAGAGTGCAATTACGACTAGGGTGTTCTCCAAAGACGTCTGTATCGCCGAACTGCTGTTGCAGGAGTCAAACGATATCTCCAATCTCAGTCAAGTTGACAGAAGCTCTTGGAAGGTTCGGATTGCCGGGGGTGTAGATCCAGCAGTGGTAAGCCATCTATCGATCTTGGATATCGGTTGAAGCTAATCAGTGATTCAGATCTTGATCATAGCTCTATGTCGGGCTGAGATGCATCATGTATGGAGACAGTAGTACCTCATCTGAGAGCATCGTCGCTCGAAGTGTGGAGATCGTGAGGGGCTCATTGTCGGGAAAGCATCAAACTGGCCATGGCGTTTCGCTTGCGCCAGGGTGTTTGTGAGGCCTTGATGTTCCTTCAGACCCTCGTTTCGCTGCACTGCATGAGACGCAACCACCTACGTAGATGTTGAACGACGGCTTAGCCTAGTCAGTGAAGTTTACCAGCCTGGTCACTCATTTACCAATTCATCGAGTTTACTGGAGGGTTCCTTCTTAGTTGACAAGTCGTGTATTTGTAGATGTCGTCGTAGACGTTTGTCGGGCGTTTGTTGGGCGAGGTAAGTCAGATGGATCGGAACCAGGTCTCAGTACGATCACAGGTGTGCCATTATTCCTTCCTACTCATCAGTCGCATAACAATGCGACTTGTTGCGATGAACTTTTCCTTCTTGGCCATATGTCTACGCGCGATGTCTACGCGCGCAGACCCGACTGAACAGGCGACAGACCCATACTCGGAAGACGTTTCGCTTTCAGCCCAAAGATCTCGCGATGAAAAAGAGCGCGATGAAAACGCTGAACAGTCGATAATCGCGCGCTTACGATGAAAGAGGGGTTTGGAAGGCACGTGGAAGGGTCTCATCAAGCGATAAGAAAATGACGTTCGTGGATGGTCCGAGAATAGCTCCGGTTTTTAGCACACCTTGAACTAGCAACCCCGGATCTCCAATACAAGCTCGAAGCTGTAGTGGAGTCCACTTGTTCCATTTGAGAATGTGTAAACTACTCTACATCTAGGCGCTGAAGGCTCATGGCATTGCTGATTGACAGCTTCGTGTTCAGAATGGCATGATTTCGATTCAAATTCATATCTTCAAGAACACGACCGTGCACATTCCTGCCTTCGGTAACCACCCCTCAACCAGCTAAACTCGAACTAGACCGATTTGCTCTCTCCTCGTGGCACCAACACCAAGCTGAAGAAACAGTATGGTCTGCGAACTTTACAAGATGCCGACCTCCGATATGTTGTTGGCTACCTAGGTACCGTCACCTGCTGGCGCCCACCCTCTCGCCCACCGTCGCTTACTCCTTACTGTTGGAACACTCTGAAGCGCGCGAACAAGATCCGCACGGCTTACCAACATAAACCATTCCAGAATGCCAGAAATCGTCAGCTTCGGCATAACGGACGTCATCCTGTGAGGTCTCCTAACAACAATCGCTCGCCCTAAGCCATTTGCGCTAATCGCAATCTTAATCACGACCGTCTTCTATGTTTTTCTCCGAAAACTCCGGCCCCTAAGCCTCGCCGAGGCCGGTTTTGATAGCATCAAGAGTCTATAATCTTACTGTTGAGGTCTTTGGCGACATTTAGAATGAGCTGCATTGCACTTGCCATTATCTATCTGCTAAGGCGCCGGGGGTCGAAGTATTGGAGGCAATTATTGTAGGGGAGGCTGTCGGTGATCAAAGCTCCTGCGGCGAACGCTCTGTCCTCTCACTTCCAAAGTTTGCTCACGAAGTGTTAACTTGTGGGCTTCCGGTGATGCCCTTACCGTGTTTAAGTTTTTCGCGTTCGCTGTCCGCATTAGGTGGCGTGCGGCAACCTACGTGGTACAATACTCGCCCAAAGTCATGCAATGCTCGGCATTTATATTGTTTGACGACGGTGATTGAGTTTGTTGCCCTAAACTCATCAACGTCCCCAACGTCACTTTCCTGCGCCGTCTCACGCCTGACGACGTGCTGGTATCGACTTGGGTTTATTCGGGCCGTGCTCGGGTATGAACAGAACACGGCGGTCGCTTTCGCGACAATAGAGAGCGCCTTTGGTTCAAATTAGTGCCTGCCCAGGTGGTCTTGAGTCGGGCTGGTACGCCAGTACCAATCAGCAGTCTCTCCAGCAATTGAGCCGATCCCCGGCTTACTTCCGATCTCAGCCCAGCCCAAACCCCATGGAGGGGCGTGCGCGCCGGATTTGGGATCAAGCCTGCGGATCGGCTGAACTGTGGAGAAGTCTGCCAATGGGGAAGTCAAATGGTGGAACGAACCGCCAATCAGGTAGGGACCAAGCATGCTTCAGCTGTAAATTGGCAGCCATCGTAGGTCTAGGTCTCTCGCAGGGCGCTGCCACAGGCCGGCGGATAGCTTCAAAACCATGCTTCCCCTCGCGCATTCCATCTCGTGTCAGTCTAAAGCAAACCTCATCGTTGATAACACTTCACAGTCGCTTTCAAGTAACCAAACCTTGCCAACATGCGCTTCTCCATTATCGCCGCTGCCGCTGCATTGAGCTCTACAGCTCTGGCCCAAGGTCTTCTTGACCAGATCCCGCAATGTGCTGTGAGTTATTGACCATAACTATCGGCGAACGAAAGCTAAAGAAAACGCAGCAAGCCTGCTTCGGTGGCAACTTAGGCAGCTGCGGTGCTACTGACATTGCATGCATTTGCGAGAGCAAGATTATCGACGCTGTGTCTTGCTGTGTGTTCGCTACTTGCTCACAGTCGGATATCGCTGGTATGTCGCTTGCCATTTCGCGTCCCGTGCCAGCTAACAAGTATCACAGCGACCACTCAGTTCGGCGTCGAGATATGCAAACTTCAGAACATCGACGTAAACACCCAACCCTCATGCCCGTCTGGCAGCGCGACAGCATCTGGTAGCGCGGCCCCGTCTGGTAGCGCGGCCCCGTCTGGCAGCGCGACTCCTTCAGCAGGCAACTCCTCTGTCACACAAGTGTCTGGCACCGCCTCCATGACCCCTTCAGGAAGCGCCTCCGCCACTTCAGCATCAGCGGCTGGCAACACTGGAGCAGCACCCATCCAGACTGCAGGCGCGGGAGTCGGTCTTGGACTTGCCATGGTCGGGCTGCTCGCTGCTTTGTAGGAGAACACCGTTATCACTGTACGCTGTTGGACACTTGCCCAGCGCCCGTTGTTCGAACGGTAGCCCCAGCCATGCACCTGACGGGCCGTGTACCAGACAACTTCCCGACTCGCGCCTCAGGAAAACCTTCCTGCAATCATCGATTGTCCACACCGAAGACATGGCCTGGTTTATTTGTAGTGTATTCCCGCAGTTTGGAAACTTCTTTGTTTAATAACATAATCTATTTCGTCATTTACAACTGTTAGTAGATCTCTAGCATTAGTGCTAACCTGTAATAACAAGTAACTGTGAATGCATCCTCTTTGGAGACATTTGATTGATGTATCCCCTTAAAGGGAGGTGCTATGAAACTACATACATCGATGATACCAGGCTGGAAAGCCTGCCCGGCTTATTTGGCGTGAACCCACTTCAACTCTCTTCCTTTAGAACGCGCTGGTAATGATTACAGTCTTCCAGACGCACACAGTGACTGACTCCATCTTTTGTTCGCGACTGCACGACGTGCTGCGGAATGATCCAGCTGATCCGCCCAATCCCGTGCCCGTGCGGCTTATTCTTGAACACTCGAAGTTGAAGCCTCGTCGGCCCCTAGTCGGGACGCGCTCGGCCGCTACTATTTGCCATTAGCTGCCTTCCACCGAAGCATGTTCAGCTCCCGCGGCCCATTGGACGATCTCCACACCCCAGATCTTCGACCCTTCAACATCCCCGGCATCCATCACTGTCAGCCTTCATCATCAGTCCTCACTTCCAGCCTAATTCCTCTTATCCTCACTTTTTTTTGCGCATGCATTCCACGTAGCTGTTGCGACGCTCTACCGCGATAAGCACTCATAAGGTCGTGCGACGATGGGTCTCGGCATCCTCTCTGACCATGCACTCGAACAGGTCCCTGGGACCGCGCAGGTATTGGAAGGCGAGCAGCGGAGGGAAATCGAAAGAAATGCAGGAAGTATCATAGGGAGGTCAGGCTTGAAGTACGACAAAACTGGGACAATACTGCTTGTTCCGCAGCCGAGTGATGATCCGAATGATCCGCTTGTATGTCTTCCAAACGTCCCATTCTGGCACAAAATCTAGGCAAGTGCACATAGTTGACTGATACTCCAGAACTGGTCGCTTCGTCGTCGCGACACCATTCTCCTTCTTCTATCCTCCATATCAGTCATCGCAAGCACCCTCTCTCCCATTCTTGCCGCCAATACTGTCTCCCTCGCCATTTACTTTGGTCACAACCTAACCGACATGGCTCTGTTGACCGGCTACCACCTCTTGGGTGTCGGAGTCGCAGGTTTTTTTTTCGTGCCGTCAGCGCGTATCTGGGGGAAACGACATGTGTACATTCTAGGAACTGTGATAGTCGTGGTGAGTTGTGCGTGGGGTGGCGCGATAGGAAACAATTATGCTGGATTTCTATGGGCGAGGATATTTCAAGGCGTGGGCCTAGCGCCATTCGAAGCGCTCGTCAATGGTGAGTTCAAGCATGGATATCTTTGAATTTTACTTGAAGCATACACTAACTTTGTATCTCGATTTAAAGCCAGTGTTGGCGATATGTATCACGTCCACGAGCGCGGAGTTCGCATGGCGTTGTCAAACTTCGCCGTCTTCGGAGGCGCGTTCCTTACGCCAGTTTTGGTAGGAGTGATTGCAGATTCAATCGGATATCAGTGGACATTCTATTTTGTCGCCATATTCGCGGGGATCATGCTACCGCTGATCATACTCTTCTGCCCGGAAACGGCGTTCAGGAGGGAAGAGAAATTTGACACCGACACTATGGGGAACTTGCTGGTTAAGGATGGAGAAGAGATGAAAATCCTGGGTAATCGGGGGTCGAGTAGTATATCTGCTGAACACGAAGCAGCTGGAAACACGGATGAAAAGGGAGCAGGAAACTCTGCGGACCAGCATTCGGTGGGCGATTCGCCACGCAAGGCTACTTTCCTCGAAAGTATGAAGCCGTTCAATGGGCGGAAAACAGATGAGCGGTTTCTGCACCTCCTTCTGCGGCCGTTCTCGCTGTTCTTGCATCCGGGTAT